AAGAGATCTGAAGTCAAAACGTAGTGATGTTATGCAACTGGGCATCACTTTGACGTATAATTATTTTAAGCAATTTTTGTATCATGGACTTGTAAACATGTAAAAACAGACCCAATAGGTCAAATAAACCCTATGTGAGCCCACCATTCAATCCCCCACAGTTATTACGCTTTTACACCTTCTATTTGTTTGTTAAGAGTGTGAGTTCCAAAATTATTAGTGATAATGTTAAACAAATTTGGGATTGCGAGTGTGCTTGATATGAGCAAACTATATTCTGCGATGCACAAGCCAGAGAAGGCTGGGAACACAGAGTGATCTGGTGTTGAATGTAAATTGTCCTGGATGAAGCTGTTGTAGTGATCGCTTATTTTTATTACATTTAGTTTTGTAGACAGAGCTCGATTTGTTGCCAGGCTAGAGTGAGTGCCGTGCATCAGCCTAGCTCACAGCAACCTCAAACTCCTGGGCTCAATATCCTCCTGCCTCGAGCCTCGGGGGCCGTGAGTAGCTGGACTACAGCATGCGCCACCTGCCGTGCGTATTTTTTTGTTTTTTTTGGAAGAAAGGTGATGGCGTGATATTTTTATTTGTATAGTTGGTGTATATTAGTTGGCCATTAATTTCTTGCCATTTATAGTAAGACGGGGTCTCGCTCTTGCTCAGGCTGGTTTCGAACTCCTGAACTTGAGCAATCCGCCGCCTCGGCCTCCCAGAAGCTGGAGCTAGGACGCAGTGTGAGCACCGGTGATCGCTTATTTATGATCATATCGCCATTATTTTCACCATCATAACCCCAGTTCCTGGTACAGTGCCTGGCACATAGTAGGTCCTCAAAAACCGTTGAAGGCATGAGCCTGATGTGCAGTTTAGTTTGGCAGCACGAAGGAGTCTGCACACTGTAGTGTAACTAGCTTTTGCAGGATGTGTATTCGGTGCTCACTATGTCTACGACCTTGTGCTTACTAGCAGCTGGGTCCTATTTTTAAGTGCCTTATATGTAATAAGTCCTTTATCTTATAGGATTTGGAGTGACCTTGAGCAGAAGTGTTAATCGCTTCATACATCAGTTTCCTCATTTGTAAATGAGAATAGTAATTCTTACCTAGCCTACCTTAACGATTATTATGAAACTCAAATAAGACCATCTCATGAAAGTGCTCTATAAACTGTAAAATAGTTTATAGCCATGAAGATGGTGATAAGAAAGATTCTTTCAATAGACATTTAATTTCTTTCCTAGAAGTACTTGTTACCAAGGCCTGTAATTAGCTGGCTGGTGTCTTCTACACACACCTTAATTATCTGAAAATTGTTTTCAACATTCTGAATATCAAATCGACTGTTCAAAAGTATTTCCTGTCTTTCTTTGACATATAGAAATAGGTGTACAAATATAGAAGAGATACATAGAAATATAGAAATGAATAATAGAAAATTTTGCAGAAACTATCTAGAAGGTATCATCCTACAGCAATCAGAACAACTACCGGTATTATTATTTTTGTAATTTTTTTTTTATTTCAGCATATTATGAGGGTACACATGTTTAGGTTATGTATATTGCCCTTGCCCCACCTGAGTCAGAGCTTCAAGCATGTCCATCCCCCAAATGGTGCACACCACACCCATTAGGTGTGTGTAGCCCCATCCCCTCCTTCCCCCTCCCACCTGCTCCAACACCCGATGAATGTTACTACTGTATGTGCACTTAATTATTGATCAGTTAAAACCAATTTGCTGGTGAGCACATGTGGTGCTTGTTTTTCCATTCTTGGGATACTTCACTTAGTAGAATGGGTTCCAGCTCTATCCAGGATAATACAAGAGGTGCTAGATCACCATTGTTTCTTTGTGGCTGAATAGAACTCCATGGTATACATATACCACATTTTATGAATACACTCATGCATTGATGGGCACTTGGGTTGTTTCCACATCTTTGCAATTGTGAATTGTGCTGCTATAAACATTCAAGTGCAGGTATCTTTTTTATAGAATGTCTTTTGTTCTTTGGGGTAGATGCCTAGTAATGAGATTGCTGGATTAAATGGTAGTTCTACCTGTAGCTCTTTGAGGTATCTCCATATTACTTTCCATAGAGGTTGAACTAGTTTACAGTCCCACCCACAGTGTAGGAGTGTTCCTATCTCTCCACATCCACACCAATATTTATTGTTTGGGGACTTTTTGATAAAGGCCATTCTCACTGGAAATAAGTGATATCTCATTGTGGTTTTGGTTTGCATTTCCCTGATGATTAAAGATGTTGAGCATTATTACAAAGACAAAAAGTAACCGATATTGGCGAGAATACAGAGAAAAGAGAATTCTTAGACGCTGTTGGCGGGAATATAAATTAGCGCAACTTCCATGGAAAACAGTATGAATATTTCTCAAAGAACTAAAAATAGACCTACTATATGATCCAGCAATCCCATTTTGGGGGGTATCTACCCAAAGGAAAAGAAATCAATATATAAAAAAAAGATACCTGCACGTGTATATTTACTGCAGTGCTATGCTCAATAGCAAAGATATAGAATCAACATAAGTTGG